CAGCAATGCCTGCAGGGCAGTCTGGCAATGAAACGGTGCTGCTGCAATTCTCAGAAGATCTGCTAGGGGGCGCACGATGCAGCCTCACAGAACAGCTCCTGATACAGTGTATTCTGCTCCCATCCCTTCTCCAGCACTGGTTTGCACAGTCACATGGGCTGTGTGTGAGTTTAAAAGAGCCTAGATTGTCAGCAGCCAGTGCAGAGCAGGCTTCCAGATACCCAATGGGAACTAGTGGCTGGTGGATGTAACCTGCTGCCTGGACACAGTGAGTACTGACAGGGGAGCAGCCTGTGTTGGTGGCTGGGATGAGGGATGCTCTGAGATAGCACATGGGGACAATGCAAGTTATTACTGACACACTGTCTGCAGTGATTTCATGGATTGAGAAGTGGCTGAGCTAATGTTAAACTTGGATGCTGGTCCAGAATAGCCATTCCATCCAGGTTACCTCTCTGCTGGGTGTGTTAGGGGTTAAACTGATCATTAACTGTTTGTGTATCTGTGCTCCCTTTTCTAATTGTTTATTCCAGAGCTCTACATGTAAACCATCACCATGCTGGGCTATCAACCCCCAGCGAGATGGATCAGAACAGATTGCAAAGTGACGGGCTCAGAGATTCCCCATCGCATTGCTCTGATAGTCTGTTACAATGTATTGTTAGAATGCTTCTCCCATCTTTAGTAAACTCCAGATTTGTATTTTGTTATATAATTGGTCGTTTCTCTCCTGTGGGATAAGCTGTGATCAGTACGGAGCCCATTCTGTCCCTGTCCCACCCCCATCTCTGGATGGTCATCTCCAGCCTCCTGATTGTCAGCCCTATCTTTGATCGGCTTCTTCCCAAGGCATTGGTGCCACTGGTTCTAAGTCACTTCCATCTGCACGTCAAGGCGTGTGTGTGTGTTTTGCCTGTAGCTGAGTAAGTCTGGGTGAGATGGAAGTGTTTCTGGGTGCCGGATGCATTGGTGGAGGGAGTGGATCTCTCCAGACCTTATTTAACCCAATTTCAATGCTCTGCATCCGACAGTGACTGAGAAAATGAGTGCTGTCCCCTTTATTTACTGTGTGGTCCCCTTTATTTACTGTGCGGTCCCCTTTATTTACTGTACTGTCCCCTTTATTTACTATGTGGTCCCCTTTATTTACTATGTGGTCCCCTTAATTACTGTGTGGTCCCCTTTATTTACTGTGTGGTCCCCTTTATTTACTATGCGGCCCCCTTTATTTACTGTGCTGTCCCCTTTATTTACTATGCGGTCCCCTTTATTTACTATGCGGTCCCTTTTATTTACTATGCGGTCCCCTTAATTACTGTGTGGTCCCCTTTATTTACTATGCGGTCCCCTTTATTTACTATGTGGTCCCCTTAATTACTGTGTGGTCCCCTTTATTTACTATGCGGTCCCCTTTATTTACTGTGCTGTCCCCATTCCACCACTTTGTTTTTTTTTTTATCGATTGACCCTAAACTGCTCAATTCATTGCGCGTTAGTCTTATATTAAACATTTCCAACGTGCACTTCTGTCAACTCGCTCCCTAAGAAATCTTTTTGGAAATAAGCCTTTGATTTAATTACTACGTAGAGTCTGCACAATCACCGGCTACATCGGGCTTTTCATGTAATTTACACTCTCTCCCAAGAGCCGTTCAGACGTCTTGAAATAACGACAGGAAAGACAATTAGCTTAATTAGCAACTTAGCATTTTAAGATGACCCTCCATTTCCGTCTAAGACATTTTAATCTTCAGCCTTTGGCAGCACGGCCGCATCTCGCTGTACGCAGATGATAAACTTTTCGAGTTGAACGACTGTTTTCTATTTACACAGTAGCACGGCTGATAACCCGATGTAAAGCGAAAATACTGGCAGTTTCCTAGCGCCAAACACAAGGGATTTCAAAATAAAAGCACAGGGAGAAGAGGTTCTATAGCTGGCGCTGTGTGATCATCAATAAACCTCCTCGGGAGAATGTCGTGATTGTATAAAAAGCGAATATTTCCTTCCTATGTAGCAGTCAGACAGGGATTTATCTACACTGGGGTTTGTGGTGAATTGATCACAACTTGGCAAATTGGAAAGAAAATAATATAGATTTTTCTCTCAACATGACTGTTTTTGTCGGAAAGTTGATTCACCACAATTCGCTGTTTAGTGAATAGATCCCTTGGTGTCAGCTGCTTTGTGTTTGCATGAAGCTTGTTCTGTGTCTTTTCATATTGATTGCGAAGAGTCAAAGTGTGTCTTGTGTGAGCATAATTTTCTTGAGATGTTAAGAGAATATTTTGTTTTCTGAATGGAGTCAGATCTGTCTGTCTGTCTGTCTCTCCACACATTATGTAGGTATAAACAAAGTGTATATACATTTTCTATAGAATGTGCATAGTTATTCTCTTATTTGTTCTTTGTGTGAATGCTGCTAAACCTTGTGTGTGTGTGTAATTTTATTTGTGTGTTTAATTCCTATACTGTCCGTACAGGTAATGGGAGAGAGGGCGACAGGGTAAACTGATTTATAGGAGTGTTTTCTGAGAATCATAATTTTTATTATTAAATCAGCTGCAATCTGCGTTTCTACCGAATAATAATATTTTTAAGACACTACTAGATTCCGTCAACATTATTAACATTTGTTACATGTCAAAAGACAAACACAGTTTTTTTTCTCTTTTCTCTATACGTATATTTTTATCCATGAATGTTTTTGAAATAAATAAATAGGTTCAGAGTCCATAGAACTTTCTAAGAATTAATCAATCATCGATTAACGTTTACCTTGCAATTAGAAAATGCTGCAATCGGTATTTTCTATTCTTGTTAAAACATGTACCGTTTTTAGTTTAGTGAGAAAACGTTTCTCTGTCTAAACTTCTAATCTGCGGTTGGCTGTATGGCTTTATCAACATTGTTTTCATGCTATTTTATATTAAGTTACTGTAGGAGTTTCCAGCCAGGATCTTATCACCTCTTTGTGGCTTTGAGTTGCTTTGTGTCCACAGTTTAAATGTTGCTGTGCATTTCGTCTGCTTAACTATTTTTAAGACTGTTTCGTTTTTGTATATTTTGAGCAGTTTCTCAAAGCATAAACTGTGTAATTCTTTTTAAAGAAATGTCCGCCTTTTTCCAATTTTGCTTTTAAGATTTGTCGTGCCATATATCTAATCTTCTCGTTGGATTTGGCAGCTCCCAAATGGTTATAAGATTGCCCCCCCTCCCTCCCCCTTGCTGTGGTTTGATAAACTAATTCATAAGGTTTCACAGACTATTTAGACAGAAGTGAACTATTGCATCCTGTTCAAAGAAACACAGTATTAAGTTGCAGTTTTTCAGAGTAAACAGATTTTGTGTATTTTCACAAACTTTGCTTTCTAATTCATAAAATCTCCCACTTTTTTTCCGTTGCAAACTGTCATTTTCCTGGCCCACAAACTCGTATAATAAACAAGATATAAATGACTTTAGTTTCCTTCTTAACTCGATTTCGTTTTGGAGCTGTATGAGCGGGTGGAGCAGGCGATAAACTGCTTATATCTGAAAAAAAAAAAAAAAACGTGTGAAGTTTGTGCATTGTAATAATATTGGAGAAGCCGTTACATTGTATTTGTTTTTATTTGTATCATTTTTTTGTTTGTTTTCTTTCTACCTGTTAAGTAACTCGAGGAGAGAGTTTATCAGCCGGATCCCCTCTACTTTTCTTTTTCTTTTTTCTTAAGTTCCAACACAAGTTTTAATGCCCTCCTAAAAGAGTGAATGGCCTGGATCGTTAGCGGCTAAATCTGCAGATAATTGACTTGCTTTTGATATTTCCCCTCTTTCTAAATGCTACCTGCAGTCCTTTGTAAGCCAGCTCGGTGGGCCAGATACGTAGGTCTTACATTTCAACATGAATGTCTGTAATCAAAGGAAAGTCTTTTGGAAGGAGAATTAAGATTAGATGGTTGTGCAGGAATTCATTTGTTTAAACTTTAAAAATTTTCATTAAAAAAATACATTTCACAGATTGTTCTGAAAATGTTAATGAATCCTTAGGGGACACTTTTAAACGTTTAGGAAAGGTATGTGCTTTAACCACACGTTTAATAATCTGTGAAATCTAATGTGAATTGTCTGTTGATTTAAAAGTGAGATTGAAACTGTTAGTGAGTATGAATAGTAATTCTGGGATTTGTCAAACACCGTCTATAAATATGGACCCAACTTACCCAAAATGAATGTATTTGGCTACATGTGGGGTTCCTGTGTTTTGTTAGAGAAAGTTTTAAAAGATGTAATAGGAGTTAATCTCTTAAAATGCAGATGTACCAGGATTAAACCATCAAACAGAGTCAAACACAAACCAGATGGTGCAAATTAAAAAAAAAACAAAAAATGTTTTATAATACAGTCTTATTGGTTTTATATTTATATTTATTCTGCTCCTGTACCCACTGGCGAATTTCACACTGGTTTCAGTAGATTTCCGCTAAGGAAAGTTTAAAACAGAGAAAACTCAAGGACAGCTAACTGAGTCCCCTCAAATACACTGGTTAGAAAGCAAGGTCAATATTTTTTCGTTTTTACTCACTAATAGTAAAGGAATTGAAGAATGCTCGGGATGTGTATAAGGCTAACACAGTAATGGAATTGAAGAATGCTCGGGATGTGTATTATGCTAACACAGTAAAGGAATTGAAGAATGCTCGGGATGTGTATAAGGCTAACACAGTAAAGGAATTGAAAAATGCTCGGGATGTGTATTATGCTAACACAGTAAAGGTATTGAAGAATGCTCGGGATGTGTATAAGGCTAACACAGTAAAGGAATTGAAGAATGCTCAGGATGTGTATAAGGCTAACGCAGTAAAGGAATTGAAGAATGCTCAGGATGTGTATAAGGCTAACACGGTAAAGGAATTGAAGAATGCTCAGGATGTGTATAAGACTAACACAGTAAAGGAATTGAAGAATGCTCGGGATGTGTATAAGGCTAACACAGTAAAGGAATTGAAGAATGCTCGGGATGTGTATAAGGTAACGCAGTAAAGGAATTGAAGAATGCTCGGGATGTGTATAAGGCTAACACAGTAAAGGAATTGAAGAATGCTCGGGATGTGTATAAGGCTAACACAGTAAAGGAATTGAAGAATGCTCGGGATGTGTATAAGGCTAACACAGTAAAGGAATTGAAGAATGCTCAGGATGTGTATAAGGTAACGCAGTAAAGGAATTGAAGAATGCTCAGGATGTGTATAAGGCTAACACAGTAAAGGAATTGAAGAATGTTCAGGATGTGTATAAGGCTAACACAGTAAAGGAATTGAAGAATGCTCGGGATGTGTATAAGGCTAACCCAGTAAAGGAATTGAAGAATTTTTGGGATGGGTATAAGGCGACCGCAGTAAAGGAATTGAAGGAATTAGGAAGGCTGAACATGATGGACACATCCCTAATACTCGGGACGTGTATAAGATTGTTGAAGAAACCAGTAAAATCAGTGTGACATTCCATCATGGTAGATTAGTTGTATTCTATCATTATGTATATTAACAGTGATAAAGCCCACAAGTATCCTTCGGACACCAATGACATCGCTTCTTTTAAATTGATTTGATTTCGATAGCTTTAATCTTTAGGCTTGATGTATCAAGGGGGACTAGTACTTTATACTATATGTTTAGGGTGGAATCTTGGCCTCCTTTGTTAACGTTCATTTTTCAGCTAGCAATATGGTCCTTGCGGTTTTTATTTTGTTGTTGTTGTTTTTTGAGGGTTGGGATTTTTCAATATATATTTTTAAATGGGACAGATGTGAACCTAGAACACACTGCTCATGTTAGAGATAGGACCAAATGACCCCTTTTCTTGCAGTGTTTGAGCCAGACTCTACATAGTTCCTAGCTGGAGTTTATCAGACGACAGGCCATTTCACTTCCAGCTGTAAAAATGATTATTGTTCATGTTCAGGAATGCTGAGAGAAGTACTTTCCAACAGCGATCTACTGTATTAAAAAAGAATAAAAAAATAAATAAATCCCACTTGTGTGCTCTATATCCCCTCCAGCTCGCATGCTCCCACCCGGCACTGTATACAATTCCTGCAGCTCTCTCTATTTTTATCCTGCGATGGCAGAAAGCACATTGTTGGACCTTATTGTCTTTCAGAATGCACAGTGGCACACAAAGTTCAAATTCTTTTGTTCTCCTGTGTCTATGGAACTGCAGGAGGTGAGCTATCATGCAAAAATCTCCCCCACACACAATTATTAACCTTACTGTCTTGTTAGGTCCAACAGAATATTCCATGAAAGGTTCAGATTAGCCAGCACACACACATCTGCCAATGAATATACCGCATTCTTAACAGATAAATGACCTAATAAACTACTAAACAGAAAAATGCCTTAGTTAGCGATAGGACCCTAGTGAAATAGTGCACCAGATTAATAGTGAAAGAGAACACTTGGACATTTTCAATACATTGTTGTTGGATGTTGGTGTGTGGTCCCATAATTGCACCAATTTATGATTGGCTGTAGGTTTTACATATGTTGTAGAGTGAGACCTCCACCACAAACAGCATTTATTATTCGTCTTGAGATTTATGGGGGCATTTGGTGAATTACTTCAAAAGAGCGACAAAAAAATATTGCTTGTAATTCTCTGCTACATTAGACATGGACAATGAGATAATGTGAGAACGCGGGTGCTTGTGACCAGACCCAACGCGATATGTCGTAAAGGAAGAACAAAGTGTATAACGACCAACAGCCATAAACGAACTTGGGAAACTTAGGCATAGCTTTAGGAATAAAAATTGCTAATCGTATCTTAGTAGACGTGTAAAGCAGGAATAAATGTGTGTATGTAAAAAAATCTTTGAAAAGCACTTTAGGAATCGTGTGTGTGTGTGTATATATATAAAGAATGCAATAATCCCCTGCACTCACGCTCAAAAAATGACGATACCGGGCGCATCACCAAGGCTACAATAGACAGAAATCCACCAAGGAAGGCTGCTCTCCGGCTTTAAAACAAAAATGTATTGATACAGTTTAAAAATAATGACCAACGTTTCGGTCCCCGCTCAGGACCTTCTTCTGTTTCAAAAATACAACAGGACACAGGATATACCTGTGTCCTGTTGTATTTTTGACCTTGAAAAAGGTTCCAAGCGGGGACCGAAACGTTGGTCGTTATTTTTAAACTGTATCAATACATTTTTGTTTCAAAGCCGAAGAGCAGCCTTCCTTGGTGGATTTTATATATATATATATTTTTTTTTTTGACAAGGGCTAAAAAGAAAAAAACCTTTACTCAATAATAGTTTATCCACTCCAGAGTTTTGGCGGTGGCCATTGGAGGCACTTTTGCCCATTCTAAGGACACCTGTAGATAAACCAGGGATTGCGCCGGCTTGCCTGGATCTGCAGACGGTGCCCGGCCATTTATTTTATTTACAATAAGGATTTCCGAATAACTGTTACTGTGTATTTAACATGATTGCACTTAACTTATTTTGTATTGAGAGAAACATGAAAAGATAATCAGAGTGTAAAACAGTTAAAACAACCAATAACAGACAAATATTGCTAAATATTGTGAAACCAATTGCGTAATAGAAAGATTTTAAAGAGACATTGTCGGAGGATATTTTATAAATACGTCTATAACAGGTTTTTATTTGATCTATTCAGACATACCAGCAGAAAAGCACATGTTTTCTTTTGATAAATCTCTCCTTAAGTTCTGCACAAAACCTGCCTTTGTAAATAAGTAATACAAGGAGCTTTATCAAGGTAAAACCAAGTGCTATTTTGGGGGAAAATGTTAAATAAGCTTCTGTTCTGCCTTAATAAAATACTTCCCTCCCCACCCTGAGTGCCAAATACTACATTCGCTCAAGCAGCATCACGATAAACGTACACCGGGCCACCCAACCATCACGGTCCTGGTGGGATAGTCCCAATTTGTGGGTCTTGTCCCATCGTTCCGACTCTGTTTCTTGGTAAATCGTTTTAATGTCCCCAACTAGCATAGTGCGAGAGCGTTATTAAACGCACTTGCTCAGGGCCTAAGGACCCAGCAGAGATCACTGACACAGTGGTCTTGGCATGTCCGCCAATCTTTGTGGTTTGTGAGGTCACATGGTCAGTCATAACATAACGGTGAGGTTATTATATAACTCATACTCCCAACAATCTATGGGGGGAGATTCAGGACGCCGTGGGTAGGGCTTTGATGGGACATCGCCAGTGATACCACCAGATTCACAAGTGACATCCATAATGAGCAGACGTGCCCGAATCAACAGAATCGCTCCCTGCCTGGTCCGAATGCCTACTACGCCGTGTAACTAATTTAATCATTCGCTCACGCTGTGCTTCCCAGTGACAGGACTCAGAAATTGGGACAGTGGAGAGGCCTACGCTAGTTAGGTGAGGTCACGGCGGTGGTGGGGTTACATAAACTGCCATTACAGGTGGAGCAGTATAGCTGCTTTTCCAAAGGTGGAGCTATGATTATAGCTGCTTTTCCACAGATTGAGCTATGATTATATCTGCTTATCCACAGGTGGAGCTATGAGTATAGCTGCTTATCCACTGGTGGAGCTATGAGTATAGCTTCTTAGCCACAGGTGGAGCTATGAGTATAGCTGCTTAGCCACAGGTGGAGCGATGATTATAACTGCTTATCCACTGGTGGAGCTATGATTATAACTGCTTATTTACAGGTGGAACTATGATTATCCACAGGTGAAGTTATGATTATAGCGGTTCAGTGTAGAAAAATCTACATTTCATTATCTCACCGACAGAAGTCACTTGAATTAGGCACCAAATGTTATCTTTGTTCTTACTGGGTGCCTCTAGGGACCCCTGGCACTTTCCTCCATGCCATGCTGGGCATGTAGTGGGGTCCTGGGATTTTGGTCTGTACGACTAAGTTAGCTGAAAGGAAGGTTTTGCTAGCCCTGGGAGTGAGAAGCGATTATGTGCAGGTTTTTCCTCTTAATATTTATATCACGGCTTTTGTTTGACAGAAAATCTTGGTCCAGGTGTTTTTCAGTAATAATGTGTTCATTGTGGCCGTATCGGCTGTGTCGATGGAGTACCTGGTTTGTGTCACAGTTTAACAGGTGGTGGAACCTCAGCCAGGGGTGAAGTATTATGTTACCACATAAGGATCCAGAGGGGACCACAAGCCTCCATGCATTAACCATTTAAATGGTGATTTATTTATTTTTAACAAATACTCATACTTTCAGTAGCTAAATAGTGACAATAGACTACTTTAAATTCAGAAACTTCAAATTACTTTTCGCACATTCCCATTAGAATTCAGTTGACAAGTCAGAGGTTTTGTACATAAAACCTGAGGTTTAGTCATTACCTGTGGACAAACTAAATGAGAGCCCCATTTTATGTTCCAATTCACTAAAAACAAAAGGATAACGTAATATTATTATTGCCATTTATATAGCGCCAACAGATTCCGTAGCGCTTTACAATATTATGAGAGGGGGGATTTAACTATAAATAGGACAATTACAAGAAAACTTACAGGAACAATAGGTTGAAGAGCGCCCTGTTATAACGAGCTTACAGTCTATAGGACGAGCTTACAGTCTATACGACGAGCTTACAGTCTATACGATGAGCTTACAGTCTATAGGACGAGCTTACAGTCTATGCGATTAGCTTACAGTCTATAGGATGAGCTTACAGTCTATACGATGAGCTTACAGTCTATAGGACGAGCTTACAGTCTATAGGACGAGCTTACAGTCTATAGGATGAGCTTACACACCTCGTGCAGTCTTTTTTTCCTGCAATATCTTTATTAAAGGCAGGCAGCTTTACATCAGAAAACCATGCATAGAGTACAGTGAAAACAGAACGTCCAATCGTCAGGGCATCCAGATACTGCCATGTAAATTGAAAGGATTTCCCTAAATGATTCTGGACCCCCTCACGGACATGTGGGGTGAGTGACGACCACTTAGAATAGATTTCCTAACTTTATTGTGGGTGCGTCCGAAGTTGTAATTGACATTTGTTTTATCAATGGACGTGAACTGGAATGAACATTCCTAAACCAGTCTGTTACCTGGAGTGATGGATTAAACGCCGTAATACTCTCTAATAGTGAACACTGCAAGAACCGCGAGACACTTTGTTTGATGAAATGCTTTAAACATATACACATAGGATACATGGAAGGAGGGTTAGTTTAGTGTATTAGAAGATACTAACCGCAAACACAGCATTTTGTAAAGAGAAAT